GGGGGAACATCCCAGATGGAAATTTATTGTCTTCTTTAATATGATATTGTCGATTATTTATTTCTATTTAATATTTGTCCTCCACAAGTCCATGGCCGTGAGAATACCGTCTACAATATTGTTTATCTACAGAACAATTCTAATCATCTTTTTTACAAGTAAAATCTTTTTTAAGTCACAATATATTTCTTACAATCAAAATATCTTTTTACAATCAAAATATTTTTTTATAATCAAAATATCTTTTTACAATCAAACTGGCAATTATGGGACGGAAAGTTTTTAATACCATAAATGTGTTATCAAGAAGAGCAAAGATTAGACGGTTTGCCTCCCTTTTCCCTTCAAAAAAATAAAGATTAATGGATTAAAATTCTGTTATTGATCCATATTATTAAATTCTTTTTTCGATCCCTCGGATGTAAAGTTTCAACTATTGGAGTAAATTTTATGATTTACCATGAGAATTATGAAGAAGTTTAAAACCACATAATACGGTTAATATAGGTGCAGTGTGTAGAATATACCTACACTCTGCAATTTTCATGCATGCATATTGCATATAATATATTTTCTTGATTTGAATAATTTTTAAATTATTTAAATTTTCACCCGACCAAGTTTGAATTCAATATTTCAAGGAGACTTTTTGTTCAACTTAACAATTGAATACATTTATGGAAATATTTTAAATAAAATTTAAATGAAGGAATTGTTGAATATTATTAAAATCTGACCATGAAATATTATTTCTTGAATCTAGATGCACTCAGATATTTTATCTTTTATCTTCTAAATTAACCTCTCATGGCAAAACTTATGTATTTACTTTGGCTTCAGCGTTCAGCTGGATTCTGTAATCCCATGCCTTGATGCCGAATAAGTGGTTATAAAAAAAATTTTAATCATCTTTTGGCGAATATCCGATACATCCATAACTTATTCAAATTTTAATAGTTTTTTAATAGTTTTAAAGTTTACACTGTGGATATCAAGTTCAGTATAAAAAGATTAACCCTCAAGACAGCTAATTATAAAAATAGATTTTGCAAGTAAACGGATTAAAGTGATTGAAATAAACTTTAAATCTAACATTTTGATATCACTAATTTCCTTGAAAAATTACTTGATATTTTAAAGGAATTAGGGTTTAAATTTAATTTTTGAATTTAATTAAGAAGTTCTAATTGTGATGATGGAGAAATGCAAGATTTACATTCTGATATCTCAATAGAAGATGACGTCATAGATCTAAACAATAAGGTAGGCGGCCATTTTTTTTTCTTCTAAAAATGGCGATATTTTAACATGTTTTGATTTATATTGTTTGAAATGCCATACTTAATGATGATTTGAAAAATGTTCTTGCTAAAGTTAGATAAATAGATGTTTAATAAACCATGTAATAACATGCTGAACACACATAACGCTTACCAGAGGCGTACACAGGGAGGGGGGAATATGGGGGCTCAGCCTCCCCTGGATAACATGCCCCCCCCCCTGAGGGAGGGCCTTATAAAAATTACTTTAGCATCTTACTTTTGTCCTTGACTAAAAAAGTGGCACTAAAAAAAGCTTTAATCAAAACAGTGTAAATATATATTTGATATCATTATTTATAATACAATAGGTATCGTTCCTATGAAAGTATAGATATTTTTTAAGAAACGTTTCCATCTCTATTTTTCACCCCTTGAAGCTTACACCACAGTATAGAGAGGGAGTGTCTGATGAGTCCACTTAAGAAAATTACATAAATAATTTATCAACACTTGTAATGGAAGTGTGTATATGATCGAATAGTTTTCATAGTTAAAAAGGTATCAATATTTTTTTTAAAAAAGAGGTTTTTAAAACGTGCCCCCCCCCCCTACACAAATGCTCTCGTACGCCCCTGCCAGAGGCGTAAACAGCGGGGGGAGATATGGGGGCTCAGCCTCCCATGAATATCATCCTTAACACATCACGCTTACTAGAAGCCTTATGTTTTCAAAATTGAATAAAGGAATGGATACAAAGGATTTGAGTATTTGCCACAAACTCTGATTTTCTAATCCCTATATCTGAGCAATCCAATGTCGTGGACCTTAGATATTTCAAACTATGAATTCTGTTTGATCAAAGAATCTAAGTTTAAAATATCAAAAGCTTATGCCATAAGGTTACAAAGATATAGGGATTATAACTTTTGAGTCTACATATTAATGACTACCTAAGTATTGAACCATGATGGGAGCGGAGCTTAAATTGTCAATAAGGCATGCTTCTCTCTTTTTAAAACTGGTTTTTGTAAACGGGGGAAAACTATCAAAATGATAATTATCAAACAAAAATTAATAAAGACTTTTCATCACCATTAATCTCTAATGGTATAATTTTGTTAAACATTTGGTAAAATTACAATAAATTCCATACAAATCATAACATATGGTGCTAATATCATTATATATCATTACATATCATCTGGTAATTTAAAAACTGAAAATTATTCAAAACTTGACAAATCATGACAGCGCACTTTTTTGGATTTTTTTTTTTTTTTCGACGATAATTGGAGAAATATAAAAATAGAAATAAAAGGAAAAGGAAAGGATAAGGAAAGTTACATATTTATTGTTTACACTATATTTAAATTATTGGTGGATTGTTAGTATTTTTCGACGATGAACTAACAACTTTTAGAAATAAAAATTATAGATTTATTTGTAATGTTAAAAAAAGTAAAAAAAAAAGCTTTATGGAGTGTGAAAAAGATATAGGTTCTATGAAAAACGGGCATTTTTAAGCATCTTTTTAATTCGCGCTGATTTTTGACATCCTTTATGTTTGATTATATCTTTTACTCTTTTTAATCTTTTATTCTTTTCTTTGTAAAATCGTCTTTGGTTTCTTCGATTCTTTTGCAAACATAGCATGTGTTAGAATTAAAACATTTGTTCTGCGGATAAAAATCTTCTATTAAATTCTGTTTAAAATTCGAAATAAGATTGATATTTGAAAGCTTAGAAAAGTGTCGTTTATTTTCATACCATATTTTAGGGATAGTGGAAATTTTGCTTTTTTAAACTTTGCTAATCTTTGTAATCCCCCAGTTCATCTATTTTTTTAGTACCCCTTTCACAAATTTATTGATATTTAAAAATAAATAATTATTTTTGTTATTTTTTATTTCCATCATCATCTTAAAGATCCTGATAAGTTTTATTTTTCCCCTGGATAATCCTGGATTTCCTGTGACTCAAGCACGCTTGTTTATCTAGAGTTATGAATAGTTTTTCAATTTTTCTACAAAATAGTGTCAGAAATGTAAATATCAATAGAAATATTGTAAAATTGTAATCAAAAATTGAGTGGATTTAGATCAAATATTTGAAGGAACCTAGGTTAATGCAGGTATTTGCTAAATGTTTTAAAATAATTTTTTTTGATATATTTCTTAGGAGAGCAAAGTACATATGTATCACAAAACAGAAAAAATATAATCATATTTTTTATTTAATCTAGTGAAAAGACCCCCTGGGTTTGGTCAGGCCTATGAGGCACTGGCCTATATGTCTGCCTGTATATATTATAGGCTTGAATCAGCTGTTGCCCTGGCTTAATATACTGCTTAGCTTAGATCAGTTGCCTTTCATACATTCAATATTCAACTATACTTGTACACTGTACAGTGTACTGTGTACATTGATTAATGTACAGTGTACAGTAAAAAACGTTAAGTGTACAGACTTCATGCCATATATGTACAATGTACATGTGGAAATAAATATAAAAAAGTGATAGAAAATTTGACAGCTAACTCGAAAGCTAAGATTAAGAGAAAGAAAACATGAAAGAAACTGAGAACTATGAGTTTAATGGAGTTGACAAAGAAGCCATGACAGAAACAGCCGATATAGAAAAGAAAGATGAAAGGGTGGAAGGGACTGAGCCTGAATATGAATTAGATCTATGGGAAGGACAATTTTCCCTGACAGACTCCACAAACCTTTCAAACTCTACCCAATCCTTATCTACATCTACACATGTAGGAGCAATATGTTCTTCTAAATTCTTAATTATCAATAATTTTTTTCCTCCAAAAAGTTTTGTTCTAAAATGGCTTATGATTGTTGAGCATATTTATTTACAGAGCGAGGACGACATAAGAAAACATAATTCTACTCTAGGCTAATAAATACCTTTATCTTCTTAAATCATTTGTTTCCAAAAAACATGGTAATGGGGAGGGGGGGCACGTGAAGAATATCTGCTTATTATCAATTATAAGATAATCAAGATAACGTTTGAAAAAGTGCAAATGTACGTGAGGAAAATTATGTAATTTAACACGTTTCATTTTTATTTTTCTTCAGATTTTTCACTTAGATACCGGATTCCTATATATATTTATTTTACAGTAGATGGATCAATGTTATTTCATGTGAGAGAATAAAAGAAAATATAAAGCTGAGTAAATGAAAGCAATTTATACAAGAATATATCCTAGATTACCAATTTACCAACTATATACGCCCAATCAAAGAATATTAACTTGTTTCAGTCTGAATATTCGCTTAAAGGGAGTGAACGGCTATGTAAGTTAGCTGAACTGAGTATGCAGTGTTGTGGAAAACTTCTTTCGGATTCATTTGAGACATATTAAACTTTTTAAAGATCTGTTAATCCTGAGTTTGAGCGCAAATTCGACGTTCAAAACTCCTACTTTTGGGGTGGATACGTTTTCAGAATTAGTTTTTTTTTAAATTATTAAATAACGACAACGAAAAATAAAGTAAAAATTATACAGTAATCTAATTAGATTGTTAGGAACATATTTTTCAAAAGAAATTTGTCAGTAAATCAATGCTAAAATCGAATATTTCATTTTCATTAATATATTGATTTTCTTTGAATTTATTCGCTGATTTCTTCAAATTCTTCAAATGTCGTCTTTTCAATAATAATTCTAGAAAATCTGCAGAAATCTTTGTGAATAATGAGAAAATAGAAACTTATGTTCCTATGACGTCTGTAGTTTATTGTAGAACTTTTTTACATTTTATGTCGTCGTTATTTAACAACTTTAAAAAAAATAATTCTGAAAACGTATCCACCCCCAAAGTAGGAGCTTTGAACGTCGAATTTGCGCTCAAACTCAGGATTTACAGATATTTTAAAAGTTTAATATGTCTCAAAAAAATCCGAAAGAAGTTTTTCACAACACTGCATACTCAGTCCAACCACCATACATAGCCGGTCACTCCCTTTAACTTTTAAAGAGACAGTTGGCGTAATTTTAATTGTCCGTTTATTTGAAGAGTTGCATGCTCAATACACAACGGTACCCTTTATAGCTTGTTCTTCGCAACAATGAGGAAGATATTCTTGTTTTCCAATTTAAAAATCTATAATTTTCCATTGCAGTTTCTCTAATAAAATAGAAAAATAACGAAGACATATCTGTCGTTGTTACTCAGTTAATGGTGTAGAGGGTACCGTGGTGTATGGCCAACGGACATGCCAATTTGTAAATAAAGAGGCACTGAAAATATCTTTTAAAATATCTAAAAAAGTGAACAAGTGGGGGGAGGTTGCGTTTTGACAATTTAATTATAAACAAAACATTGATTTATGAATGTAAAATAAACAGGAGAAAGCAAATGGGAGACAGACTCGGTCATTTCTTGCATCAAAACTACATTTAGAGATATATCTCAGGTTTTCATACTAGCTATACATTTAGAGATATATCTCAGGTTTTCATACGAGCTATACATTTAGAGATATATCTCAGGTTTTCATACTAGCTATACATTTAGAGATATATCTCAGGTTTTCATACTAGCTATACATTTAGAGATATATCTCAGGTTTTCATACTACCTACACATTTAGAGATATATCTCAGGTTTATTGATCGATACATCCTAGCTTTACATTTAGAGATATATCTCTGTTAGTTGTTCATACTAGTTTTACATTTAGAGATATATCTCAGGGGCTTATCCACACATTAAAGCTATGCATTTAGAGATATATCTCAGTTGTATTTATTCATTCATCCGAGTTATACATTTAATGATATATCTCGAAGGTTATTCATTATATATTCGAGCTATACATCTAGTTTAAAACACCAATATGATGGAAACCTGTAAAAGCGTGATATGATCAATATTAAATTTATTTTTTACCTGTCACCTGACGATGTGTGAAAAATTGTGAAATAATTTCCCAGAAGGATCTTCATGAATCAAGAATATGAAGGATTGTTAATTGTTTACAAAATAGATCAATTATCTATTCCATTGTTACAAGTGTACTGCAACCGTTTGACCTCTAATTGTAAACAATATAAAGTATATAGTAAACAAGGACACACAATTTAAAAGTACGGGGGGGGGGGGAAAAACACTTTCGTTTTCGAATTCCCCCCTTCCCTTCTTACCCCCCCCCCCCCACCACCCATTTGTGAAAAGACCCCCTGGGTTTGGTCAGGCCTATGAGGCACTGGCCTATATGTCTGCCTGTNGTTATATTAGAAAAGGGGGGGGGGTGATGGAAATTTATTTATAAACTAGATATTAAACAGAACCCTTCATGATGAATTGCAAATTATAAAAATAAAAAGTGATGATCTGTTGATCTGTTTTTGTAAACAAGTAATGATGGGAAATCATGGTTAAACGGATACATCAAACAACTCAAACTAGCCATTTGGAAGAAACCCCTTAAATATTTGATATTCTAATATTCTTCAACATATGCTGATATTATATTTATTTTATTTATTTCATTTCTTAAAATGACGCTTTTAGGATTTTGAATTTTATTTCATCTGTCATGATTCATGTTTAAAATATCGCCATTTATATTTGTAAAGAAACTGAGTTTTTTCCACAAACTCTAGTTATCTAATCCCTTTATCATTTCAAAATAGCTGTGATCTCTAAATCTCCAAATAATTGGATAGCAATGAAAATAGTATCAAACAACTATCAATCTGATTTGTACCACACTCATTTAGAAAATTCATGAACATTCCCTTTAAAAGTTTTATATTTTCACTGTTATTAGGTTCAGCAGTTGCAGGAACAGGTCGGTATACTGGCAGATAATCAGGCAACAAATGACGACAGGTTAGATAAAATAAATTTTAAAAAAATGGAAATTATTTTTCTGATCTTAAGGGGACTGTAAGTGTAATTACTCCTGTATGCCGAGTCCATAAGCGACTGATTCAATCAGGGTTCAATTATGTGTTTGTTATCTATTCTGTACCAATAGAAATAGTATGGCGGTAACATATATCTTTCTATCTATCTCATTATCCAATAAGAGATATGAATCCTTTAATCTGCGCTATCAGTAAATGGAAATATTTACTTCTACTGAAACTATAGTGGTAATGGGCCCACCATGCAACGATGGCAAATCCTAATTAACATCGGTTCCCTTAAAAGCTTTGTCTGATGAGGGAGGGAAGGCCAAGCGGCCATAAACCCCGTGGAAAAGTCTCCGAACCCCGTGGAAAATCTCCGAACCCTTTAAGGAGCAAAAAATGTGTTATTCTGGGGGAAATCGCATGATTTTTGAATTTTTTTCAAAATATCGCACAGGATCAAACAAAAGTATTACTAATAAATGCAATTTTGATCTTATTCACGGCCCTAGTATATGTTTATTTTGAATTCCTTTTTTAAGCTTAAACTTTAAAATGGACCTACGCAACAATCACAATGTTTTTAGTATTTCAATGATATTTCTTTAACTTGATTATTGTATTTATTGAGTCCATAAGTCGAGAAAATTGGAAAATTATTGCTAATTTACAAGTAATATTTATATTTAATAACGTTTTTTTCAAAAAACCTCCTCCACGGGGTTCGGAGACTTTCCACGGGGTTCGGAGACCATTCCACAGGGTTCGGAGATTTTCCACGGGGTTCATGGCTTCTTGGCCTTCCCTCCCTAGTCTGATCTGGTATGCGTTGGATTTTTTTTTCATTCTAAAGGTTATTGAAAGTTTAGACCAGAAATCTTATTTTACCACAAAACATTTTTTATAAAGTCAACGTCAGCAAGCAATTCATTTGTGCAGACTTCATTGCCAAGTTCTTACTCATAGAAAAATTATACCAAATTTCAATTATTTTGTATTTGTTTGTAAATAACGGGTTTTAGTCTTGGGAAATTAGTGTTTACACTGGTCAGTGAAATTTTGCATTTTATCACGTCTGATCTTGACATTTTAAGTGTCGCCCGTAAAAATAGATGAGCCTTTTACAATAGGGGTGGAGAGAAGGTTAGATCCAAGAGAGGGTTATGGGTAGAGAGAAGGTTGGATCCAAGAGAGGGTGAGGGGTAGACAGAAGGTTGGATCCAAGAGAGGGATATGGGTAGAGAGAAGGTTGGATCCAAGAGAGGGTGAGGGGCAGAGAGAAGTTTGGATCCAAGAGAGGTATAGGGGTAGAGAGAAGGTTGGATCCAAGAGAGGGATAGGGGTAGAGATAAGTTTGGATCGAAGAGAGGGAAAGGGGTAAAGAGAAGGTTGGATCCAAGATAGGGATAGGGGTAGAGAGAAGGTTGGATCCAAGAGAGGGAGAGGGGTAAAGAGAAGTTTGGATCCAAGAGAGGTATAGGGGTAGAGAGAAGGTTGGATCCAAGAGAGGGATAGGGGTAGAGATAAGTTTGGATCGAAGAGAGGGAAAGGGGTAAAGAGAAGGTTGGATCCAAGATAGGGATAGGGGTAGAGAGAAGGTTGGATCCAAGAGAGGGAGAGGGGTAAAGAGAAGGTTGGATCTAAGAGAGGGAGAGGGGTAGGAAATAAAAAATGTCTAAAAAATGTTTAAATATTAACACGAATGTTAATCACAGAATTGATTTATTTTTTATCTTGAAGGTTCTGATTGTTTCACTTATATGTCATATTGGATCTCAGCTTTCATTTAATCTATGTTATCAGTGATATAATATCATATAAACAAACGTCTAGAGCCCATTTCTTGAAATTCAAATTTTTTTGATTACTGAATATTCTGTTCGGGCTGGACCGCACAACAGTAAGTCGCCTTCTGGGACAAAAGCCGCAGGGTGTATATTTCCACAAAAAACAAAAACAATTTTCTCTCCCCATCCCCTTTAGTAAACGATATAAATGCTTGCGCGTAGCGGCAAAAAAAATGCTTAGAGTGAAAAAAAATGATATTTAGAGGAAAATCAATGATTTTTTGTGTAAAAAGTATCAAAAAGAATGAAAAAATAAAAACATACACTTATCTATGGATACGCAATAGGGACAATTTCCCAAAAAATATTTATTTTTGATTTACTTTGTAGTTTTTGTATTTAATAATAAAGGATGTTTATTTAGGTATACTCGTGTAAAACAGGAGAATGCAGCACTAACTGCTAGAATCCATATGCTCGAGGAACATATTCGAGAACTAGAGGTAAATTTCTTTATACTATTCCATAATCCCCTTATAATGATCCCTATCCTATCATAATAATATGGTACCTATCATATCCTAATTCATAGTCCATCCTTATCTCTATCATATCCTAATTCATATTCCCTTATCTCTATCATATCCTAATTCATATTCTATCATTATCTCTATCATATCCTAATTCATATTCTATCCTTATCTTTATCATATCCTAATTCATATTCTATCCTTATCTCTATCATATCCTAATTCATATTCTATCCTTATCTCTATCATATCCTAATTCATATTCTATCATTATCTCTATCATATCCTAATTCATATTCTATCCTTATCTTTATCATATCCTAATTCATATTCTATCCTTATCTCTATCATATCCTAATTCATATTCCATCCTTATCTCTTTCATATCCTATTCCCTATTCTCTACTAATCTCTATTCCGTTCTAATCCTTATCCTTATTTCTATCATATTCGTATTCCTATCCTTTCCCTATAACTGTCCTTGTTCATATCATATCCTAATTCCAATCCTATCATATATCTAATCCTGAAAACTAATTCCTAACCTATCATATTCACTATTTTCTTCTATTATCTATCCTATCCTAATCCTTATCCTATTCCTCCCTATTCTATCCTAATTCCTATTCTATATACTCTCATTCCTTATAAAACTCTTATCCAATTCCATTCAGATTTCAATCCCGTCTTATCCCTTTTTTGAGAATAAGTCCTAGATTTTTATACGGTTACAATAGAAACTTAAAAATTTACGATTTTATTAAAATATTAAACTATTAAAAGATATTGAAAAAACTGTTATGTCTCGATCACTAAATAAGCATGTAAGAAAATATTTTATATTTATTTTTATTTTACAGGTTCGGAGTGAGGAGAGGTTGGGTGAAGAGCAGCGAAGGAACCGTGAGCTGCTCGCTAGACTAGAGAGAGAGAAGCAGCTGGAACTTGAGAACTATGCAATCAGGAACAATGCCTTGGAACAGGTAACGCGAGATAAGGAATTTTTCATACGAACATCCTTGCATAGGATCAGGATCCGCTGGATAAGGACTTTATCATACGAACAGCAGTGCATAGGATCAGGATCCGCTGGATATACAATGTTTTGGATCCCTGGATCCGGATCCGCTAGATATATAATGCTTTGGATCCCTGGATCAGGATCCGCTGGACATACAATGTTTTGGATCCCTGGATCTTGGTCCGCAAAAATATGCTGATCCAGGGATTAAGGGATCCTTCAAAGTTTAAACCAAGAATATGCTTTTCTAGGGATTAAGGGATCCTTCAAAGTTTAAACCAAAATATATGCTGATCCAGGGATTAAGGGATCCTACTAAGTTTAAACCAAAAATATGCTGATCCAGGGATTAAGGGATCCTACTAAGTTTAAACCAAAAAATATGCTGATCCAGGTATTAAGGGATCCTACAAAGTTTAAACCAAAAATATGCTGATCCAGGGATTAAGGGATCCTACAAAGTTTAAACCAAAAATATGCTGATCCAGGGATTAAGGGATCCTACAAAGTTTAAACCAAAAAATATGGGGAAAAAACTATTTGTTCGTTTTTTATATGCTTACTAATTTGAGATTATTAATAATAAAGTTCAGCCATTTTGCTTTAGATGAACATTTTTGAACAATTCTAATAGAAATATTTTCTACCTCGGTCAAAATCCATTTTTTCACGGATCCGGATCAACAAGGAACAGGAACTAGGGAACAAGATCAGGAACTTAAAGACATGATTTATGGATCAAGAACTAAAATTAAAAACTAAAAAATACGAACTGTGAAACAGAAACCTTGGATTAGGAACTAGGGAACAAGAGCAGAAACTAGAAAATATTTTTGGAACTAGAGAAAAAGACCGAAAACTTCGTAACAAGGACTATGAAGTTTTTTTTGCAAATGCAGAGACATAAAATAATATTGTTTTGTATATCAGGAAGTATCGAGGTTGCGTGAGGATAATACTGAGAGCCGGCGTGAAGTAGAACGGTTGCGTGATGAACGAGCTGGACTTCAGGGTCAACTCATGGACACGCAGAGGGAGCTGGGGAGGGAGAAGGAGGTGAGGAGGGAGGGGGAGGAGGAGAGAAGGATGGAGAGAGAGGTCTGGGAGAGGGAACAACAAGCTGCTAGTCAACTCATACAAGATCTTTCTAGAGAGGTGAATCATCGTTTATATTTATATTATTATTACAAACAAACAAACGAAACATAAACCATCATTCTGAAGAAGTTAGGGTTGAGCCTCCCGTCAAAAATAATCGTAAATTACATCATTTACATTTATATTACACATATAACTATAGTTAATTTTATTTTAATTTTAAATCTTGCAGTTTTAAACACATTTCCTTATTTGATGAGTTTTTGATTAGAAAATTAGAAAATCCTTATAAAAACCAAACAAATTCTTTGTCCTTTGAATTGAAAGTAAAATGGGTGGTGCAAGGTCTCAAAGTTGTACCGGTAACCCCACAATACATTGAACTTGTTCTTATGTTGAGATTGTTTATCTGTAGGTTGAGGAACAGCGTGAAATAGTTGTACTTAATCACCAGACAGATAGCGGACTACATAGTGCAGAGGTACATTTTTTATTCGAAATTATAAAAAAGTATCAATTAAACTTGTTGCTTTTTTTATAGAATTCTTTGTTTAGTTTTTTCGTTCAGGATTAGAAAATTGAGTTATAGGAAACACATATAAAATATTTATGGAAATTCTGATTTAAAAATATTTTGTTAACTTTTTCACATTTAGTTAAACACATTCAATATTCATTATAAAATTATACCAAATCTTTGTTTAATTATTTTTTTGACACGGTTTCTCCTTTATTAAACCATAGACCTCATTGTTTATAAATTCAGGATATTGAGATGAGTGGAGATTTGAACTCCCGAATTGCAAACATGGAAATTCAAATCAGAAATCTAAGAGATAAAAATACAAGTTAGTATTCGCCCTTACTTGCAAAACAACTCAAATCACCTTGTGTATCAATTCGTAATTTTAGTTATAGAATTTATAAACAGAGTTACCCACAAAGAATGAGACTTCAGAAACGATTTTACGGAACTAACTTGATTATTTCCTGGAAAAGTCTTAAAATTTTTCATAAAAAGAATATATCTAGGACTGGAAACTTTTTTTAGTCTTACGATCGCTATTTTAAAAGAGTCATTAAAGTCTCATCCTTTTTAGGTAACCCTGTACGACATTATAAAGATCGTCAAAGATCATCTCTTCTTGACCCTCCAGATTGTTGGCTAGGGGCAGAGTGGAACGCTAATCTAGGGATTCCATTTCGAAGGCTTTTTAGATTTTTCTTCATATATATCTGATATGCAACAGTAGCATTAAAATCCGTATCTAAGTACCATTAAAGAAGATATCCTCGTTTCCTGTTCTAAAAAATTAAATATATTGAGGACCGTAATGGAAAATGATTAATTTTCACTTAAACAAGGATATTTTAATAAATTTGTCTCTGAAAAATGTCGAAAGGGTACTTAAAGGACCGCTGTAAATCGGACTTGCATCTAAGTAAATATAGGGTAACTTGAAACAACGCTGACAGTGCCTTTAATGACAATAATTTTCATCATTTCCTGAATAATTATTTTTTTGTTATTTCTAAATAGATGTTTTTTATTTTTTTATAGAATTAGAGGAGAGTAATGAAGAACTCCAGGCTCAGATGCTAAATAAAGGAAAAAAATCAACTTGGAGAATAACAATTTTTTTTTTGGGGGGGGGGGAGGTGGGTAAAATATATAATCAAGTTTTTTTTAAAGTTTAATACAGCCTATAGTAACTTACGATCGTTAAGATTATTACAAAACATTGCTGTTTTGATAAAACCATGTTTAACAAACAGTTCGTCCGACAAAACATTACTGTTTTGATAAAAACCATGTTTAACAAACAGTGTGTCCCACAAAACATTACAGCTTTTATCAAATAATGTTTAACAAACAGTGTGTCCCACAAAACATTACAGTTCTTATCAATTCATGTTTAACATACAGTGTGTCCCACAAAACATTACAGTTCTTATCAAATCATGTTTAACATACAGTGTGTCCAACAAAACATTACAGTTCTTATCAAATCATGCTTAACATACAGTGTGTCCAACAAAACATTACAGCTTTTATCAAATCATGCTTAACATACAGTGTGTCCCACAAAACATTACAGCTTTTATCAAATCATGTTTAACATACAGTGTGTCCCACAAAACATTACAGTTCTTATCAAATCATGTTTAACATACAGTGTGTCCCACAAAACATTACAGCTTTTATCAAATCATGTTTAACATACAGTGTGTCCAACAAAACATTACAGTTCTTATCAAATCATGCTTAACATACAGTGTGTCCAGCAAAACATTACAGCTTTTATCAATTCATGCTTAACATACAGTGTGTCCCACAAAACATTACAGTTCTTATCAATTCATGCTTAACATACAGTGTGTCCAACAAAACATTACAGTTTTTATCAAATCATGTTTAACATACAGTGTGTCCAACAAAACATTACAGTTCTTATCAAATCATGCTTAACATTCATTGTGTCCCACATAACATTACAGCTTTTATCAAATCATGTTTAACATTCAGTGTGTCCCACATAACATTACAGCTTTTATCAAATCATGTTTAACATTCATTGTGTCCCACAAAACATTACAGATTTTATAAAACCATGATTAATATAGAATGTGTCCCACACATTCAATACCATAATAGGTCGTCGTTTACACCGTTTTGTGGAACTCACTCTGTGTCGATATCAAGATTTTTCTATAGAACTTATATACACAAATATATTGGTAGAATTTTGATTTTCTCCTTGGCGTAGGACTGGACGAAGGGCGGAGATTACTGGATTCCTCCGCCGCGAACAATTCCCTTGCGGCAGAATTTGAAGCTATGTCAGAAAACGAGGTATTATGAAAATCAATTTAAAGCTTTTTTTACCCTCAAACTCCTCAAACATGTTTAGCATGAGAGGCAAAGGATTTTTTATATTATTTGGCGCTATAGCACTAGCTTAGATCAGTACACAACTCTTCAAAATACTCACTGTAAAATTCACAATTTAAAACCACGGTTGAAGTTTATTTCCCAACACAGAACAAAAATCGCACCTTTTTATTTAGTTTTTTTTATTGTTTTGTTCATGTTTCAAGTTAAATGTTTTGTTCTTTTGTCTTTTGTTAAATTTTTGTTCATTTATTTTTAGTGTCCCGAGGCTTTATACGCGGAAATAGAGAAGGTAGATCAATGGATCAGTTGCGATCATGAAACGATCGTTTAGATAATAATGATTAAAGAATGCTAACTAACAATCACATGTAAAAATAGATTAACTTCTTGTTTTCCTTTTCCTATTACAACATGATCAACTAAAATTTGACAGGTTAAAGATAAGAAATTTTTTTGAAACTTTACTTTATTTTTTTTTAATCTAACCCTCTGATTGCATGCTTTCTCTCATTTCAAACTAACATTTCAGAGTTAGAATTAAAGAGCAAAGTTTTTATTAAATTCGTTCTGAATAAAAATTAATTCTAATACAGGTGGTGGATTTGCATTTTTGCATGTTTTACAGGAGGGAGCTTTACCTATTTATTCGCTACTTGATTTAACTCTTACTTAAATATAAAGTTAAAGAGACAAGTGCATGTTTATGATGTTAATAAATGAAAATTTAAGTTTTTTGTTTAAAGTATCCCGGGTCCAAATATGAGTTTAGGCTTAAAAAAATGAGATTTTTTAGTTAACATAAAGAAATCTTCGACATAATTTCAAGCAACTCCACATTTAAAGTGTTGTCTAATATTCATGAATTTTTCATGAATTTTTTTTTTAAACTGTCGTAGACCAAATATATTTTAAATTTCTTTTTTAAATGTAAATTGCTAATTAATTTAATTTAATTAAATGTCTCTTCTTGATTTCCAACTATGGGTTTAACATTATTAAAAAAATATTTTTAACAATGCATGTGAATCTGTTTTTCAAACTGTAGTGTGTTCAGGATCTTTTCGATCCGTAAAGCGATATAGATTTTTAGATTTCAAGAGGATTTCCTATGTTCTCTGGCAAAATTTTTAAGGGCCTCTCGAATAACAAAAATCAATTACGTTTAAAAAGGATACAACACTACTTTCCACAATGATTGGTCCTAGTTTGATAAATTTATTATTTCAGATGAGAAAAACATTGAAGGAGCAGCAGGAGGAGAACAGACACCTCAGGAGCTACATCGACACAGTCCTACTCAACATCATGGATAAGTACCCAGAGCTCCTCGAGATTAGAGCTGCAAAGTAGTTACCAAAATCCGCAAAAATTTGCACGCAAAAAATCCAGGGAAATTCCCATGAAGGAGTTGACAATATGAGTTTGTGTAAACTGTTGGTGATACAAGATTTTTTTGTTCTTGAAAAGCAGAAGTTTAGAAAATTTAACCATGACGTAAATGCTTTTGATTTATTTTAGATGAAATTAACTTTAAAGCTCTTGACTTAAAAATTTAACTTTAACAGCTAACTATATTTAACCAGAATATGTTAGGTCTTAACTTATGAAGTAACATATGCATTTAGGAAAATATTTATTTAAAATAATTTGAATTCGGCCGCTGAGTAATTTCGTCTTTCATTAGCATTAGACTGAATTTTCAATGATATTGAACACAGGAAATAGAACTAAAAAGAGAGCTGTATAGATGCACACAATTCACAAACTGTTTCCGGTTCTTTGTTGATTTTTAGAATTCAAGCTTTGTAAACATCAATACACTATATACAGGCCAGAACATGGATTTTGTAAATTGTAAACAATAAACAAAAAACGGGGATATAACAACATAAAATTCTCAAGAAAAAATGGCGAATGGAGAAAGCTTACGTTGTGATTTCAACTCGCAGCCGTCCGAAATTAAAAAAAAATTTGTCTTAAATTTGTAAATTGTAAACCACCCTGTTCTACTTTATCTAGATTGTGGACACCCTGTTCTAACATATCCAAATGGAGGGACACCCTGTTCTAATATTTAGGATTGTGGGACACCCTGTTCCAATATATTCGGATTGTGAGACACCCTGTTCTAATATATCCGGATTTTGGGACACCCTGTTCTAATATATGCGGATTGTGGGACACCCTGTTCTAATATATGCGGATTGTGGGACACCCTGATCTAATATATCCGGATTGTTGGACACCCTGTTCTAATATATCCGGAATGTGGGACAACCTATTCGAATATAGTCGGATTTTGGGACACCCTGTTCTATCATATCTTGATAATGGGACACCCTGTATTTATCTGGATTGAAACCAACTCTGTGATATTATATATTTTTGTCTCGTGTAATCCAATATTTGATTAACAATAGTAATGCAGCGTACATTTTGATTAGCAATATTACAATTATTTAATTAAAAATCTGTTTTGTGTAATTCATAAATAAATTTATTATTAACGGCTCAACCAATTCAAGATTCATTTTTTAGTAAATTAATGTTTATTTTAAAATAAATGATTAAATTAAAGATATTTTTCACTTTATCTTTGATAGAAAAGCCTATGTTCATTGTTGGGTCAATAACTCAAAAAACAGCGTCGCGCAATATAAACGGCTATCACTGCTTTATGGATTGTAGTACTAAATATATAATTGTGATATTCCAAATCTACTTAAAATACTAACCCTTCTGATTAAAATTTGTTTTTGCTAAGAATAGTCGGATAATTTACTACATTGTTTCTGAAAAAAGAAATTCAGAGAAACCAGAATTGAAATAAATAAAACAAACATCTAATTCAGTCTTAGTCAGACAAAGCTTCTAAGGGTCTCTTTGTGAATTGAATACGCGTACGCAACTCAATCGACAGAGAGTAACTAAATATTGCGTTTTCATTCACTTTCAACCAATTGCCAGTGTCAAGAGTCCTTCTGTGGTATACCTATTTCTATCTAAGAGACACAAGATATCTATTAGACCCACTTTTTGCCACTGAATTTGAAAAAAATCCAACTTTTGTGTAGAAATTTGGTGAGTTTCTTTGCTCATAAAGGGTGTTAAAAAAACACTTCACACTTTTTTTCCCACAATGAAATTAATATCACAATGAATGTTAGGACATACATGGTTAAAAAATTATCGGATTTGGTCAACACTGCTCTGAATAAATGCTCTTTATCGCTTGGGAATGAAACTGATCAGCCTACCTGCAAAAACAAACATTATCAAAGCTGTAAGAGGTCCAAACAAATTCTTTAAACTATGACGGAGTCTACTGTGAAGAGAAATATTCTGATATTTTTTAATTTGGTTAAACCAATAAAATTAAACAAAAAATAAAAACAACAAGCGGAGATCAAAATGCGGGACGTGGAGACAGAATGGCGGGAGGCTTGGTGACGTCGCGGAGTCCGGGAGACACTTTCGCGGGGCCTGGAGTCATTCTGCAAATTTGGAGGCTCGGAGGTCATTTTTGCGGGGATCATGGCGCCTCTGCACCCCTCCCTCGCAGAACCATGCTTCAATTCTCCTTCAACAAGGAGAACAGTTGCAGGCAGGAAAGAGCATTTATTCACAGCATGATTGACGAAATCCTATAATTATTTCAAACATGTAGTCCTAACGTCCTAGAGATGCACTGTGATATAAATTGAATTATGATCGGATCATATTTCAGCCTGTGAGAGAAAAAAGTGTGAAGTTTTTTTAACACCCTTTAGTTATTCTTGATTTAGAGTTTTAAAGTTTTTTTTAAGTGTCTGATTTACTGACAGCAGATACACAGTCTCTTTAAGCTAAATGCTTCACATTATTGCAAGAAAATAAAGCCATGGTTTCGACATTTATTTTTGAACATTTTGATAAGAATAATGTGGACATTAAGTACTTGGATTAATTATATATAGTGTAGTTAATAGATTAAACATGTTCACCGCTAAATATTCGTTAATGCAATATTTCCAGGGATATTTGTTGCTAGAAACTTGGGGGGGGGGGGGGAATTACACCTTAATATAAAATATTGAGAAAAAAAACAGCAGGTTTGCTTTTTATAATTTTTTAAAGGGACTAAAGAACTAATTTTGAGTAACCATCAATTTTTAGAGAGAAACGTTCAGGTCACAACGGTACCCAATTTAAACTTTAGAGAGGAATGTTCAGGACACAAAGGGACCCAATTTAAACTTTAGAGAGGAATGTTCAGGTCACAACGGTACCCAATTTAAACTTTAGAGAGGAACGTTCAGGTCACAACGGTACCCAATTTAAACTTTAGAGAGGAATGTTCAGGACACAACAGTACCCAATTTAAACATTAGAGAGGAATGTTCAGGACACAACGGTACCCAATTTAAACATTAGAGAGGAACGTTCAGGTCACAACGGTACCCAATTTAAACTTTATAATTCACCACTTTTAAAGACATGAAAACCGCCTCATTGTTGTCAAGATAGAGAGTTAAAGGGTACCGTTGTGAATCGGAGATGTCACTTGGAATTGCGTCTACAGTCCCTTTAAGCCAGGGATATTTTTGACTAATTTTAGATAATTTGGAGATTTTCTTACATAAAGCAATAGTTTGTAAGCTTGTAAATAAACTTTCCATTTTTCTTAATTTTAACACACTCCAGTTGAACAACGATTTCTGTGTTCTTTTTTTGTTTGTTTTCTTGTTTTACTTATTTTAATCGCTGCAAACTGAACAGTATGAGAAGTTCAAATTTTTTATATGTTTCTGGTGCGACTTTGGGACCTCGTAGCTCCTCTTGTTTTAATTTAATGCATAACTATGAGAAAAGCAAACTTATCCAAGGTTTCATACTGAGTCCAAAACTAAAGAACGAAAAGTTTTGACTTAAATTTTAAGTTCATGGTTAAATGCCACTTCTGACTTAATTTAAACCTGAACTTTAACCGTGAGGTTAAATATTTAACCCTGTGGTTAAATATTTAACTCGCCGAAATCGACGAGTTAAAATTTAAACACAGCAGGTTTAAATTATCTTGAAATCCTGCGTTTTCCCTATTTGTCTATTATTCAATCATCATTCAGCTGCAGCTGAGAAAACGGCATTCAACTTTACGACAAATTTAAAAGTGAAAACCTTGTTAAAGAAATTCCACGTTTTAGATAAATTAATTTCTGGATGTAAACCCAAAAAACGGTTGTATGTTTTGTTTTCAGTTACGTAAGAACAGCTGATTAGCGATGGTTATGTAATATTCTCCGTAAAACCTTTTCTCTGATTGGTTCAGATTTTCCCAGGAAATTCAAATTTAAAATTGAGAAAGTTTAATATTTAAATAGCTATTCATTATTTTACAGAACTTTTAACCTCGAACTTAAAATTCGCGCATTCTTTAGTTTTAGACTCAGGGTGTCCAAATAAACATGGGAATTCAGTGACGAATTCGAGATCGTGTTTGTTAAGAAATAGCATTTTAATACATGATTTTAAAAGACATAGTATTATTATGTCTGCTAGGGTTTATTTTATGAAAACGGTAAATGGCTGTAAAGATGTGTTAATAATGTCTTTGCAAGATGAACCAGTGAAAACAGACTGTCTACTCTGTTTGTGTACTGCGGGGAAGTCAGGTGGCCATAAGCCACAACATGTTCCTCTTCATGCCACATATTATCTGTTTTGTCTTCTGGTAGCCAGGTGAGCCACAATCGTACGGTCTTCCATTTCACAACGTATGCAGTCAAAACACAAACAAACAAAATGTAAGCATAAAATTGTAGACGAAAATCTTACAGATTACAGCTTTCTCAGTAGGTATCACTATACTAAATCAAAGAATTATATAAAAAGACGATATCGAAATCGTCACTTTTTATTGGGGCACCCTGTATCAGAAACACAAAACTTTTTGTTCTTCACAACAGCTCTTTAAACTTAAAGAAGTTACGATTGAAAACATACAAGATTTCAATTTTACGAACAATTCACTTTAGTTTAGCGTGCAATGAGACTAAAAATAATTTAGTTTGCTGTGGCGTACAATGGCGCTGTGGTTTATACTGTTTATTGAATCACACTGGAGCTAAGAGAGAGAAAGAAATTGGCTTGATATCCAGGTTTTATTAACTTCCTCAGTTCCTGATACAAATACAAAAACAAATACAAATACAGTAAATAAGATTTCATGGATTTCTTCTGATTTCCTGTCACATTAATCATTAATACAGTTTACACACAATCTGACAAGATTATTTCGTCACAAGTTATTGCAAACATTCACAAGAAAGTTTTAAAAACTGTAGTTATAATTTTAAGCGAACCTCGAGATGGATGCATTACTGATTCACAATGGCACCCTTTAACCCTTTATCCAATCAATAATGTTGAAGATATTGTCGTTTTTCTAGATTAATTGTTTATTACTGACAATGCGCATCAGAAGTCTATGAGTCACTTTTAAAGAGGAATATAATTTAATTTGATCAATTTTCTGAGCTGAGAGAAAGAGAATGGAAATCTCAAAGAGTCTTTACATACAAAGCTTTTTAGATTTTTCTTCCTGCAGAGTTTAGTCCCACCGCGTTTGTTCCTCCAATAGCCTGATTGTCTGTCAGGAGTTATATATACATATATTTATATATAAAAGAGATGAGCTTTTTTATATAGATAACCCATAACAAAGTATATTTTTAATATGACAGTTCACGTTAAATAAATACAACTTTAGATGATTCGCTCCTTCAAGGGAGTGTTCGCGAAAAAATGAAAATAAGTGTAGGCTGAATTCCATATTGATCGGTACTAAATAAACTTCTATTTGTTGCGTCTATAAGGAGAGATTGGTTAAAAACATCTTATACGTTACGATATAATTATATTCGACAAATGTAGGTTTGTAATATCTGAATGAGTTGTTTTAAATTCAATTGAATAACTATGTGGAATAATGTAATTCCGTGAATTTGTATGGGTCCCATGCTCCTCGGCATGAGTCGTTTTTAACTATGGTCTTCTTAAAGACGCAACAGAGAGAAGTAAAATTAGTTGCGATCGATGTCAAATTCAATTGGATGTCAACCAATACCCCCTTTTATTTTTCGCGAACACTTCCTTTAACTATGGTTCTATACACTCCTAAAAATGGCTCTAGCTTCTCACTCCCTGAAGAAAATTCAGTTTTATGTGAACAAGTTTTCCATTAATAAATTAGGTTCAGGACAACTTTTCATTATTAATTATAATTTCCTAATTTAATTCCTGAGTTTGTTTGTCTAACTTCCAGCTTTGTTGCTGAAAGTTTCCGGCTCACTTCACAACTCTACATTTATGCGTATTCCAACTCCAAGTTTAAAACTAATTTTCTAAATAAGATCAACCTTTGATGAAAGGAATTAAGTTTTTGCCACAAATTAAAATCTTCTGATTCCAATATCTTTGCAATCTTATGGTGCAAATCTTTGATATTTCAAACTTAGATTATTTTATCTATAAGTATTAATAGTTTGAAATATCTAAGGTCTACGACATTGGGTTACAAAGATATAGAGATTATAAAA